CGCAAGTAGGCACACAAACGGCGGATATTGAAACGAAGCGAGAGAGAGGCCACGAGATATTTCTTTCCTTTTACTTTTTAATTATTTCTTTATTTTTCTTCTTTAATATCGCCTCCTCCTCCAGACCCCCGCAGACCTCGCGACGATCTCTCGAGCTGACGGAAATACCGAGACCGCAATGGCGGAGAGAAAGTTGAAGGAAGCACGCTGACGACCTCACGCGCGAGATACTTTAAGCCGAGCCGTGCATACATTAAGAGAGGTAAAAGGGTGATTTGTTAACGCGATAAATTGCGCCACCTTGCAGCATCAGTCGCGAGGGAAGGAACGACAACGCAGCTGTGCGATGAATTGAAGAGAGAGAATCGTAATTCGCGGCTGCCGATGTATGCGTTCACCGGATAATCATCTTTTGATTCAGTCTATGAGTCCGCGTCGACCGACGCGCGTCATCATCGCGTTGAATTATCGAGTAAAACCTGCGAGTTCCCTTCTATCCGCGTATTGTACTTCTAATACGCATTTCGCATTCTCGAACTTTACTTTCCGCTCGAACGTAGCTATCGTTGGAAACTTCGATCGATCTAATTGAATAAGATACACCATGTGATGGGACTTCCGTATTTAATTAGGCACTAGAAAGAGAATCAGCGTGTCGTAACACGTACGAATATATGCAACGTATACGCGCGCTCGCTCGCTCGCTCGCTCGTGTCTCGCCAAACAGAATGTCCTTAGGATTTTACGCGACAGCAGGACTCTCGGCTTAAGCCGTGGCGGACGGAGATTGCTGCGACTCTCGTCCGCGCTGTAAACTTCGGTTAATTAAGCGGCGGATTTAATTCGGGGCGAGGGGCGCGAGCGCGCGCGGCCGGGGGCCAATTTTCCGCGAATCGTCATTTATTGGGCCAGCCTGCAAGGGTTATGCAAATTACCCCGCTGGCATAATTCAGCACCGCCGGCAGCTCGCCGCCGCCGCCGTAGATTAAAGCCGGGCGTTCCCATGCAAATGCCGTCGTCGAATAGCCGCGTCGTTCTGGTCCTCGAAGAGAAGACGTGCGGAACGGCGACACGAACAAATCAAGACACCTTAATACGCTGTTCACCGCCGCTCATTCAAGGAGACGGGATTACGTGGCGAACAAATTCGCGAGTCTCCCGAAACACTTCGTCGTCACTTCGGCGACAACGAAGGATTCGGGAGAAAAAAAAATGCAAATACGCTGGCGACCGTTGAAATTGCAACACCGAGAATTAAAAGCAATTACATAATGACGCTCGGGGATTTTACTCGGCATACATCCCCCCTCCCGACAAAAAAACCCTTATTTACCTTATTAATTAATTCTTTCGAATTTAATGATACTTATCAAATGTTGCGGAAAGCATAAACATCTGCTCTGCGTCAATGCGATCGTATATAATCACCGATGATTTAATTAACGAGATTTGAATTACGTCCTCTTCGATTAACGGTTTCTGGACAGACTGCACGTACCGTCGTCGTCCGCGAAATACGAAATACACGTGAAATTTACTGCCTCCTCGCCGTGGATGTCGTGGAATTCCACGACGAAATTGTTTCGGAACTATGTGGCGGGCTTTTTGTTTCGGTAACGCTACAAAAATCCAAGCGAACGACAGTGAAAAAATGCTCTTCTTCCTTCCGCGCGCCGCCGTTTCGCCGGTGGTTTTCGCCCCCGGGAATTTTTGCCCGTCGCAAACTTTCCCGTCGACACGCCTGCGCGAGCGGTTTCACGAATATTTTTAATGCCAGTCGCGCCGCTAACGAGTTAACTTGATGAATGGCAATATTCCTCTGCCCGCTATTCCATTGCGCTATTTTATAGCGACTCACGTGACTCCGCCGGCTCTACAGCGCGTCACGGCGCGCTTAATTATTCCATCGTATTTATTATATATTTGCATATAACGTTAAACAGGCGTTTCGCGCGCGATAATTCTTCCTACGAGATAAAATCTGCGCACAATGTTTTTTTCTTACTATTCGGAAATATGCTTCGAGATGATAATGATAACATGTAAAAACACATGACGAATGCGAATCACGATAAAAAGTCAGTTCGAGCGCGCTGCTGCCCCGCGGATAATGTTTAATACGGCCCGCGGAAAGATTTCTACCTCGTTTAAACGGTAAGAAAAGGCTCGAGGAGCGACGAGCACAACTAAAAGGCTACTGAATTTATTGGACGATCCTTCGTCTTGCGCTGGTGGCTATCCGTAATTTCAGTTTTCGTCATTTACGATTTACAGGGAGAAAGAGAGAGAGAGAGAGAGAGAATGTGTGTGTATGTATTCGCCGATAAGATCTCGACCGCCTCCTTCCCATCATTCACGATCTTCCTTTCGTTCGTTACTGCGTTTCTGCACGGTAACTTTTCCTTTCGCCGTAAATATCCTTCTCGTCGGATCCTTCTCCTCGGATCCTCCTTCATTTCCTTTCGACGAAAAGTAATTATTTGAAAGACGATATACCATCGGGTTTCGCTTTACACGCACACCGACCGAGCGAGCGAGCGAGCGTACCATCACTCGGAAAACTTATGCGCGCTTTTTTACGACCACGTTTTATTAAGACGGGTTCAAACCAAGCGAACGAGCACGAACGAACATCCGCGAACGAATCCCAAAAAATGAGTATGAACGCGCACGAAGATATTAGAATTCCTCAAGTAAGAGTTGGGACACCGTGCGTCATTAAATGGGAACTTCTCTCTCTTTCATCAAGACTAAACTGTATATCTGTCTCTTTTCAAGTTCTAAATACACACTGATTTAGCGAAAAAAGCACCTAATACACATCACTCATGCCGCGCTCCTTGTTAGTACATCTGCTCTCTCACACCCACTCGTTTCTTCCCGATTAATGGACGGGCGTTTCACCGACCCAACATTACAGATAATTCAATTGGACAACGATAAACACCGGCCCCCTAAGATCGGCCGATATGCTCCTCTGGACATCTCCGTCAAATGAAAAATCTCAATCTCTGATCGGTCGTGCAATCCGTAATCGCAAGCACCATAGAGGCGGGGGTAATACCATATTTGGTCACCTCGCGGAACGGTATGAATTAATGACACCGTCGGCCGCGCAGCGAAGCCGATTCTACGTCATTCGATCGCGATACGTCTGGCCGATTCATAAACCACCCTCCGGCGGTGGGTGTTTTCGTACGGTTACGGTGAGAGCGGGATCCCCCCCTATGCGTATAACATGCGTATGCGTGACTCGCGGTGCGTAAACGGAAGCGGGCAAAGCTCTCGCAATCTGATTGGCCGGACCTTCTCGTAATTGCCTGTAGATCCCAAATCGCGATTAACCGGGAAATTAATACGATTCTGGATCCGCGATTTATGCGGTCGTTGGATTATGCACGCACCGTGTCGGTAACTCGCGCGTAATCGCGTTGTGCGACGTTCAAGGATCCGTCCGATGAGAGAGGGAAAGGGAGGGAGGGAAGGCTGGGAGAGAGGAAGAGAAAGGGATAGAGGGAGGGAGGGAGGGAGGGAAAGGGAGTGGGAGGAGAGAGAGAGAGAGAGAGCGAATTCTCGACGAAGGTTTCCTCGTTTATCGTCGACGATCGTGCATCTCGAAACGTGATATCGTGCTGTTTCCGAGATAGTAGTCATTTAGCGGATAAACACATGTTGAAGGTGCGCAATAACGTCGACTAATACTATCGGAGCGCGACCGGAGGAGAGGCTACTTGCAGTCGACTAAATCCTGCTATTCGTATCTCGTTACGCGTGAAGGGGTGTATTTTACCGGAGAGAGATTCTTTAAAATACTGTCCGGCTAACGTATCGCTCCCGTTTATCTATTCCCGTTTGCCCGCTGAAACACAAATCCCACCCGTCCGGATCGTACGAGCGAGCACAAAAAAGCACGTCGAGGTTTCAGTGCTGTTACCGCGGCGGTCGGCCCCCGCATTCCTTTTCCGCGGCGAGTACTTTTCGACAGGAAGAAGCGAAAGAGGAAACGTTGGCGCCGGAAGAGGAGTGAAAAAGCGAGAATCTGCGAGAAGCAAGGTAGAGAGAGAGAGAGGTTAGCGAATCGCGCAGCGTTAAAGGGTGGCTGGTCGCCATCCCCGACGACTCGGGTCAACATGCATTGTCCGGCGGAATTACCACCAGCGGGCCCCTGTGATTAAATGCTACCATCCCTCCTCCTCTCATCCTTCCAAGAGGAGAGGGGAGGAAGAAGGGAACAAGGAGGCTACAGCGCGTAGCGAAGAGCGAGCGAGAAGGAGAGAGCGACTACTAATGGAAACGATGAGGGGAAACAGAGGGGACAGAGGGAAACGTACATACCTATATAGGGGGCTGCTGGCTCTGCCATCCGTACTTGCATACCTATACCTTGCTAAACCCCTCGACCCTTACTCCTATACAGAGATGGATAATGCCCATTGTTTCGAGCATCCTACGCATCCTTGGCCCAGGACGCGATACCTAGGAGCCTTCCTCGAATGCTTGCGCCGCGATACGATACCAGGTCCAAATGGCACCTAAATACCTGCCTAAATGCGACCACAACTGGATCCTCCGGCAGCTTCCGCGCCCGGATCGCTCGAGTAGCCGCCGGATACCTGACGATCGGCATTCAGGTGCAAATTGGGCACGAACGCGGCCATGAATGTCGTCTGTGATTTCCGACCGGCCGGGCGCTCCGTCATGTTGCTCGTTAAGCCACGTCTCATTAGACGAAATTCGCGCCGGTCATCGAGCGCAATTGAAGGCGCGACGTAACTGAAGTGATACTCGTCGTTCATATTAACGCTAATATCGATAATTAAAATTTGGAGATAATTAAAGTTCCGACAGGCAAGGAAGGGGCAGCGAGAAAGAAGGCAGCGTGAGATGGTCGAATTTCGAACGGTTCGAAATATTTCGAAGGAACGGATGAAAAAAACGGGAATTGTGGCGGAGGGTAACGTAAAGAATAGAGCGTCGCATGAGATATTTGTTGTAAACGACTTGTATGTACAAATATGGCCGATATTTATACAACATACTTTTCTTTTACGTCCGCTTTGCTAATACCGTATATGTAATGACTATTCCTATGTACAAAAATCTCTCTTGTCCGTCGCGTTAGAAATCCGCGGCGTGCAGTTTGTGCAGAGTGGCAGTGTGAGTTCCTTTTCTCCTTCGTAATCTTTTAGATCCATGGCCCCAGACGACTCTCGAGCACATTGGCCGCGTCGACGCGCCCCATCAGTCTTAAATGGTTCAGTAAATCCGCCAGAGCCGTAGCCTCGCGGTGTCTGGCCTCCCACAAGTCCAGAATATGCTCGGTCGGGCTCGCCTTCGTCGCGAAGTAGTCGACGTATCTGCGTATCAAAGCGTCGGTTTACGTTTCGCAGAATATCGCGAGGAGCTAAGAGATAGGCGCGTCTCGCCTTCAAATTCGAATTTAATTTCAAAGTCGCTCCGACACAAGCCGAAGACTCACCGGTCAACTTGCAGTCTTTGCGCCAACATCCGCCAGTCGTTGCCGCGCGCGCTCGGCGGGTCCAGACATTGGCATAATTGCTTTCTCAGTGTCTTAGAAAATCTATAATAACCGGAAGTCTTTTGTCTTTTTCTACTCGTCCGACGCGTAAAAGTATCGTTTCGCGAGATGAACTTCTAAGAACGGTACCTGAAGGGTCTCGGTATGACAGATTCCGTAGACCTCGTCGAGGTTTTCCCGCGCAGGACAACGGACGATTCCGCTTTACCGTTCCTCTTTCCGCTCATGTTGTTCCTCTTCACGAGATCGAGATCGATCCTCAACATCAGGCCCTGATCTTCGAAGCCGCGCTGGCATGCGCGAAGCTCGAAGCCAAGTCTGAGATCGCCGACCGTCTTTTCTATCCTGAAAGATCGCCGGATGCTGGTCCTCGAAGAAGACCAAATGCGCCGGTATGGTACCTCTTGCCGTTCCGCAAAGCCGCTCTCCCGATCCTCGAGATCGACACGAAGCGAGGTACCGCTGGCGCGAAATCCGAGAGTACCGTGATCGATATAGGCGCTACCTAGACGACGTTCCTGCGGAAGGATTGTAGACGCTGGATAATTCGTACATCGAGTTCATTAAAAAGTTCAGTTCGTGCTTCAAATTTCCGATAATAAACCACAAAGCCACTTTCTACGATAGAAAAATACGAATTCTGTGGGAGTGTTGGCGAAGATTCTCAGATAAACTTGTGGCGATTACACACTGGTCAATAAATATCGTATTAGAAATTATATCCGCTATGAATTTTCATTTCTTTCTTTACTTTACGTTTGTGTTGAAACAGAAAGTGACACAGTAAAAAATTTCTTTAGCTGCAGTTCAGAAAATATAAGCTATATTTTAATTTTTGTATTTACTAAAATTTCTTATTTTTACGTTTCATACTGTCAGAAAAACCACTAAAATCCCTTTTAAACGAACTAAAAACTAAAGATTCGAACCAACCTAGTTTATCTAGTCTACCAATCAATTCACAGGTGAGGACACTCAGGCACATCACACGAAGAGCTACTCGCCGAAGCAACGATGAGAAATAAAAATTCGTTCACGGGCGCACTCTCTCCGCTAACGAATATTTCGACAAAACACACACACACATAAAGGCAAAATGATCGCTCACTTGCTCGCTGACGAGCTTGAACGACGCCTTGGTGTCCTCGAGCACGTGGCACCTGATGTGGTCGCGCTCGCGCGACACGAAAACCGCCATGCAAAGGCGTTTCACGGCCAAGCCCGGCGCGACCACGGAATTCTCGCCGGCCACCGCGTACACGCTCGGCGTCTCCGTGACGAGGAACACACCAGCGTGGTCGAGTTGCGCGAACGGTTGCCCCGGCAGGTTCGTCGGGTCGCCGCCCAACATCAGCACTTTGCGCCACGCCGTCGCGGTGGGCGAGCCGCTCGAGCTGGTGGACGAGCTCGCGGAGATGGTCGAGCGCGTCTCCAGGTCTATCTCCGCGGACCACAGGCTCAATTCCCAGTTGCCGGTCCTCAGCTCGGCGCAGTGCTCGAACTGGAGGATCACCGGCTTGACGAGGTCGACGCCTGGTGGGCCGCACGCCACCACGGCGGACAGCAGAGTGAGTCCGGGCGGAAGGCTCGGCCTGAACGAATTGTCCCCGAGCACCGCGAGGTGCAGGCTGTGCCGGCGACCGCGCGAGATCGCGCCTTCCGGCACGGACATCGAGACGCCCACCTCCGGCACGACCAGAAGCGCGCCCTGTTCGTCGATCAAGGCGCGCACGATGAAGCCACCGCCGGCGCGCTCGTCCTCCGCCGCTAATCGCTCGTCCTCCTCCAGCCTATCGTCGTCCTCCTGCTCGTCGTCATCCTCGTTGGTGCTTTCCGGATTCGCTTGACACGTCGAGCCTACTTGTACGTATAAAGCGCTAACTCGAGCTACACGCGTGAATAAAGGCTTGAATCGATCGTTAAGTATCTAATCAATCGCTTGTGCGCATGCAGAGATCAACTGGACGGGAAAGTACTCTATCATCTTGTAAACTCCGCGGTAGTTATTAAAGGTAATTAAAATAATAATAATCATCATGTTTCTATTAATATTAAATATTATAATAATTAGCTTAATAATGTGTAGCACAAACATGAGTGCTTTGGATATTATGTGCCGTCCCGCGCTCATTCACTGAGTATTCTCCGTCGCTAATTCCTCGATAACTTTTGCGAGAAGATTGCGAAAGGACTTTTCCATTCAGTTTAATGCGCTCCACCTGCGTAGGTAATCGTCAGGCAGCCTATACACTGTTGACTATTCGCCCCGGCGGATTGTTCAGCGGAGACGACGAGCGATTCATCGAGATTGATTACGCTCTTAAGGAGTCCGCGTGTTTCTCAAGCCGAATATAGGAGAGTCTCTTACGGGAAGATCGGCCCTCCTCATTATCCGACATGCCGCGTCCTCGTTGCGAATTCTTGCAGGAGGACCTGGTTACGGAGGAACTCGGGGACGGTCTCGTTGTCGACGGTAATGACAATTGTGGCACGTCGTAATGATGCTCCGAGCAGGATCTGCGTATGCACACGTTTGCAAATGTGTTGTATGTATAGGTGTGTGCATATTGCGCATCGTGAAATGATATAAGCCGAAGGCTGATTCATAGCTGTGCCCCTATTATCTCGATTTAGGATACCTGGGTAACCGGGCGGCGTTCGACTCGTCGATCACGTGCTCCAGACGCCGGTCATTAGCCAAGACGGCGCGCTCGTTCTTGGAGACGACGGACTTGGCGAGATCGCCTGGACGGCGAAAGTCCAGCCTCGCGACGCCGTACAATGCCTCCATCCGCTCCTTCCGGCGCATGAAGCGAACGAAGAAAATAGTGGTCAACGCCAAGATAACCGCAGCTAAACTCAAAGTGATCCACAACGCGAGAATGTTCCTCTGATCGACCGCCCGAGTCGCTACGGTGAGAAATCACTTTTCAGCGCAACAACAAAACACGTCGAAGTTACGTTTCCGTTGTTTCTTTACCTTCCTTGAACACCCTCGGCCCGTCCTGTCCGAGCGCTGCGTGCAACAAACAGAGAAACGTGTCTCGGTCTGGTCTAATAGACATATTGTTTCGTGGTTTTTATTTTACAAATTTCATGTTATCTTCTAATGAAATAGGTGAAAGTAATGTTCCGGAAGGATTAGAATATTGATAACATCGAACGACATAGATAAGATCGATCAAAATATTTCTACCTTTACTATATGCCGCATAAGCCTCAAGGATGTGACGGGACTCAAAGGGTTAATAATAGAGGCGATCGTACCTACAGAACTCGGGCGAGACAGAGAGGGAATCGCGATCGCCTTCGAATTCTTCTCCCCTTGCAAATTTCTGGCCTCGCCCACCAGACGCGGCCGATTTTGCCGATGAATCATCGCGCGTGCGAAGTCATCGGATATTACGAATAGCAATCACACGCGTGCGCGGAGATAAAGGCTGCCCGAGTAAATCGTTAAGAAGTCGCGCGAGTCACGCGAGGAACAATGAGAAACGCCGCTGGAGAGCTCACCATTACATCGATCCGTGGAGCAGGACTCGACGATGACGTCCTTGCCTTGACAGGGACGACCGCCGTTGCTAGGCGGGGGTTCGTTGCAGGATCTCCTTCTTACTCTCGAACAATCGGGACCGCATGCGGACCACGAGGACCAGGTTGACCATCTGCCGTCAACCGCTGCGCAGAGCAACGGGGTGGCGGTTTGAAAATCCCGATCAAAGTGCGATTATCTGGACTTGCGAGCGAGAACGGATATACGGGTACACTGAGTTTCAATGAGCGTTTCGTGTACACGAGTTCAATGAAGCTTTAACATTCGCTAGGTCAAAACTCACCGTGCCTATGTGTAGACGTACACGTGTACATTATAGTTGTCACAATGTGTCACATATTATGGTTAATTTGTGACTTCGACAGTTTAACATACCATATTATATCATATCATCATCATTATTATCAGTGTTGTTATTATTATTATTATTTAAGCTAAATTGTATACTATTGCATGCATAAATTACGTAGCGAACAAGTAACGTAACAATTCCGCGTACGATAGCGTTCAAAAGATGAAGCAACAGTTAAATAGTTGACGCAAAGCCTATCTCGAGGAAACGAAAGAGATATTTAATATAATTAACGATAACTGTGAACGAGAAAGATTCGAGGAAAAATATTGAAAAATAAACGCGCCTGTAAATTTCCAACGTCACTATGCTTAGAGAATGGGACTACATTGGTGGAACCTTCCGTACATCTGTGAGTATCTTGATCGCGCGTTTCAACCACCCGAGCCGCTCAGCATTTAGCGACGTGGGGTGCGTGCAGTCGTCAAGTGCGATTCCATTAAAATTCGCGACGTCGCGTTGCATTATATCAAGTGTCGCGCGTACGAGCGGTCTCTGTAATCTACCTACCGGGACAGGAAGGATTGCATTCTACCCTTTGTGTGGCTGGTCCTGGGCACGTTTGACCGCCGTTGATTGGAACGGGATTTGTACACGTTCTTGTCCTCTTTTGTACGCCTCTACCGCAGCGAGCGCTACACTCCGACCAGCCGGACCAGGACGACCACCCGCCGTTCACTGAGAATGGATCGAGAAGAGGAAAAAGAAGAGGAGGAAGTTACCGACGGTGAAATTAAAACGGGAACAAATAGCGCCTCGTTACGCCCCGTGGCTCGAACAGATCAAGAAGACGCGAGGGAGAGAGTGCTCGACCGAGCGCTACGCCATTCAAATGTGACAATACGATGGAAATTCGATCGTTCGGGAAGAGATATCACAGAATTCAGCAAATAGTATAAATATTAGTTCTTAGCTGTAAATTGCCAATGTTCAGCAACAAGGACGTACATGATTCTGTATCAATTTAGGATATTCGAATAATAATTTTTGTCTCTCAGCAGTTAAGCCTGTCTGTAAATTAGTCACCTGTCAATAATATAAGCATGCATGCATGTCACAAATTGAGACAAAATCAATGTTACGTTAAATGGTACTTCAATTCTTTTGAAAATATATCGCAAGTTAACTAAAATCTTGCCATGAATTTATTTAAAAATCTAATAGAATTAAAATCCCAAATGTTCCGACTTTTCAAACAAAATAAAACTTATGCACTTAGTTTAAGCCATGTGTTATTAATTTATAGTTACGATGAAATTACTTTGTCTTATATATTCGAGAAAAATTTTCTAGTATATACTACTACTTCGTTCTCAGTGCGGGGCAGCCTTACACAAATTCTACGTCTCACGTCTCGATCGCGTTTCTTTGATCGTTCCGATCCTCCGTGGCGATTTCTCGGCGCGGGGATCCCGCAGGTGCGGAAGAATCGCTCACCGTACACCGTGAGGACCGCCGGCTCGCTAACCCTCCTCGCGGCCAAGTTCTCGGCGACGCAGGAGTAGTTCCCCTGATGTCTCAATTCGGCCTCGCCCAGCAGCAGATGCCCGTCAGCGGATTGCACAAAGCTGGTCGCGGACACGTCGTTGGGGTTCGCCTCAGAAGCGGCGCCGGAAGCGGTCGTCGTCTCGAAGGGCGAGCCATTCCTCAGCCAATACACTTTGGGCGTGGGTACGCCCAACGGCGGCGAGCATCGCAGCTCGGCGTTGCGGCCGACCTCCACCGACAGCGAGTACGGCGGCGACAGGAAGTGCTTCTTCAGATCTGCGCCAGTCCGCCCCCGACGATACCAGATCCAGTTTTTAATATCCGTCGGGGAAACACCGTGCATGCGCTATGATGATGACGACGACGAGAGCGGCGCCGAGAGGGGGGGGACACTCAGCGATATTAGGGTGCGCGCGGAAAGGGAGCTTTTTTGCAGCGAGGGCCAACGGGAAGGCGGAGGAAAATGCGCTCGTTCGCGGCTATCCGCCGCGTCGAAAAGCGAGGCTTTCATATCGCTCGTGAAGGGCGAAGGGTTATGGGTTGCCGCCTCGCGACTCGGCGGTTTACGCCGCTGAAAGCGGCTGAATGCGCCGCACTATACGCGGACCGGCTGATGGATGATACGTGGTGCGCTATCACAAAGCGCGCTACGGGCCTTCCACGGGCGTACCGGATCTCCGTCGGAGACTTACACCAACGATACGACCGGAGATCCTACCGGGCGGAAATACACCGCCTGTCAAGTTCTCATGCGATCTCCGACGTGTGATTTCATTTCGCTCACACCTCTTGAGAAATATTACCTTGTTGTGTGCATCACGTCCGCGCAAAACTCGAAATGCGCGCGGATGGAAAATCGAAGAAACCGTTTATCGCTTCGTTTATCGGGTCGAGATGTGAATGATGTCATTTTCAGACAAATTTTAAGAGATCCTTCCCAAATAGACAGATATGAATAAATTTGGCAGCAACTTTATTAAAATAACGAGCCCCTATTTGGAGATTATCGTGACGCTTTGAGCGCTTTCTATTATATCCTTTTAATAGAAGCCCACTTGCTTCAATTTCTGCCTCGTCGAGAGACGCGGTCCGACGAACGCCCGCGATCGGCGTGAGATATTAAAACGTTAAACACGACGAATTCGGCGATTTGATTCGTTTGCGCGTCACTGCCCGATAAATGAATTATCGAAGCAGAGAATGCGGTAAGATCGCGTAAGTGCAGTCCTACGTTATTTTTTTCTCTCTTTCTTCCTCTCTCTCTCTCTCTGATCGAACTGCATTCAGGATCGTCACGTGGCGAATCGAGACAGCACCGTGGAATCGTACACATCAATCCGATCGACATCGCGCATTCAATTTCGAAAGCACGTCCGCTTCTGTTTGCAAGCAAATACCGATTTAATTTTGCATCCTGTTTGCCACGCGTGTTTGCATGGCGTGGCGCGACTCGAAATGTCTAAATGAAAATTGCTCTTGCGCTGCACCTTCTACGGACCCTCCCTCCCTCCCCCCGCCGCTTCCGATGCAATCGCATCGTTATTGAAATCCCATACGCGAAATATCAAAATACACTTTTCCCTATGTGGCTTATCGCGATGTATATGTGTGTCATGTGCATACATGCGTGTATGGTGCACACACATACATATATAAATATGTACGCAACTTTATTTTGGCTCTGATAACCTTCGAGTGTCGTGCAATAAATAACAGAGATCGTCTCTCTCTCTCTCCCTCTCCCTCTCTCTCTCTGAAGTAAAGGAAAAAAACAACGCAACGCTATTTCGGAGGTTACGCGTCTCTCGTTTCGTTTGCGATAGAATATCGATTAGATTTTGTACTCGATTTGCGCGTCACAGGACACTTGATGAAAGCAGAACCGCTTCGGCCCCTTTAATTCGTTCCATCTTCCGGCCTCGCGTTTACCGCGAGAAGGTCAGGGGAGGTGGAATTTTACGTCGATCACCTCTCCGAAGTTTCAAACGAGTTACGGAAATCACGTCGATGAAGTTACGAAATAATGGTATAATTAAATAACCGAAAGGTAAATGGGGGATGGATAGGAGGATGGACGGAGGGGGGAGATGTGGAAATTATATACTGATAAACGCTAATTAGCGCGACACCTTTACCGGATACATTTTCGCACAATTGCAAGCGCGACTGTTTGGTCGCCGGGTAGTAGTGAGAAACTATTATCGAGCCCATTATACAGTATATCGACGGTAAATACGATAAAATCACCGGCAATTATAATATCGTATGAGCGCGCGCGCGCGCGCATGCGTGTGTGTGTTTTGAATCTTCAATTAACTCGCACAAATTGCGAAGACGGCGCATGAAATAGTTGTTACACGTCCGTTCAAAGGCTTTACTCGTCCCCTCTCGTATTAACGTGAACGAAAGTGACGTAATCTCCCGAGTCGGGGCGCTTCACGTACCAACGTGGCAACGAGCGACATGGTCATTACCGCAACGAGAGAAAAATCCTTTCGTCGCGTCGGTAAACTAAACATTCAAAGGGAATCGAGGGAGGACAGGGGTGTAGGATGGCAAAGAGAGAGAAAGACAGAGCGAGAGAGAGAATGTGTGCGGAGGGCTCTTTACTTACAGGCGACCTCAACCGTAGCGGGCTGCCCTCGAATTTGACCTGGTCCCGACCAAGCCACGCACTCGCACTTGAATCTCTCCCTCCCGAAGTACTCCTCGACCTCGTTCCTTGTCACGTTCAACTCGACCTCGACGACCCTCGTCCCGGTACGAGGGTCGACAAAATCCTGCTGCTGCGAGCGCTCGGCTCGCTCGCCATTGCAGCGAAAATACACCTGCGAAAAAGACCGGACACAGTCATATGTGCAGGCGTGTCGCCCGGGAAACAGGTTGTCTTCGTTAAACGCCGGCTAAGTGGATAATAAGAAGGAGAAAAGGGCAAAGAGAGCCGCGCTCGGGACGGGAACAGAGAGAAAGAGAAGATACAAAAAGAGAAAGGGATTAGAAGGGAGGTATTCTGTGTCGAGATCTTTAGCAAGGATAGTGCAAGGTGCAACGATACTTTCACGTTACACTGTGCGCGGAGATAATTTTATAGTAAAGATAAAGAAACATATCGACATTTTGTCTTAACACATCGTGGACCGCACGTACAGTGTGAGGCAATAACACTATCACCTTGAATATCTTCGAAATGTGGAAATAGGAGGAAAATGTATCTAACAAAAATTGTATTGTACTGATATCAATGCTCATCACTTCAAACACCTTCTGAAAATGTAAACTTTTTTCATCTTCATCCAGTCAATAAAATATTTTTATTTTTCAAAAATACTCGAGATGGTAACAGTTATTACGTTACTCTCTATATATAGTTGTAACATTTTCTGTGGTACTGAAACATGTAATTGATGAAGACAGCGGTAACGCTTTTATTATAATATTCATTAAAATATTATCCTTTACGGAAGGCTACTAAACAGAATTTACTAACGTAGAACGTTCCATCCTCTTTAAGCCGTGAATCGACGTTTCCTCAATGCTTCAAAAACTAAAGCCGTCGATTCACGTCTCCAACCTGCAATGTGTTAATTTATCATCCTCGCCTTTCACAAGTATCATTTATATTTCAGAAGCTAGTCTACCACACACATAAAATTTATCATATGTTTCTAAATAAAATTTGCTACGGTCCTTAATAAGATAAGCCCTATTGACAGTCTATTCCTGCACCGCTGGAATGCACTGGGTATTGAAAAGGATTGCTGTGAAAGGAAACTATATAATACTATTTCCGTGTAGTAACTCGAACGAGATACGAACGGTGAGAAAAGATGCGACTGGGAAGTGAGAACGAGATCTCGATGCACATGTATGTAAGTATACGCGTATATACGTAGGAAAAAGTATCGAACAAGGAGAAGATGCAAATTGAAACTTACGTTCTACGAATGCAGCGCGTGCGCATACCTGAAGAGCGTGTGCGGCACGGCAATGCAGCGTCGCCGGTTTCCCTTTGACGACGAACGTGTCGACGGGCTCCGCCAAGAAAATCGGCAGAGAACGACCGGCGATAAGATCGGTATCGCTGGTTATGGTCGCTGTCTCATAGTCGCCGTAATCGTAGTCCTCCACAGGATAACTCTCCTCGTCGTCCTCCTCGGCGTCATCCTCTTCCTTCGTACCTGGACGAGAACAACGGTGACTTATTCCTTTTTTTGCGCAACAAGAAATTGATCATTCCGGCACAAACCGCGGTTGATCCAACAGAATAATCCCTTTGCGGCGTTTTATCCATGTGCGTTCTTAAATTTTTCACATCGAATCGATCGAATTAAATTGTCTCATCCGAATTGTCAGCGACTCGTTTCCTGGCCTATCGGGGGGATTCCGTCGTTATCGTCGTCGCGATCAAGAGACCTAGATTGTCTGTCAGTAAAGTTTATTTTGCTAAGGAACGTAGTAAATTTGTAATAATAGGAAACTTCAGAATCCCTACATGTATATCTATACACATATAATGCCAATGCGTTTTACATTCTTAATAATTGTCGAGTATATTTGACCAATTCGCTCACTGCCTAGATTTTGCTACTTATATTTTTTCATGTGCTATCCTCTTTATGTTTTTCAATTATCAAATATGATCGTTGGTCTACTCGCTCGTACAATTTAACTTTTTTACCACTTACGTTCTTTCACGCGCCGTTCACTCGGAGACGCGAGCGCGTGCATTTACAATATATATTCAGACGAACGGCGTCGGATGCGATTGGAAGGCGGATTTGGAAGCGAGATTAACAATGCGTGGCGGCTTTTAAACCGCCGTGTATCAATCCGAAGTAGGCGCGCTCGGATCTTTACACTTCGTGTTCCCCGTCTCGCTCCTAAGTCCCGCGGGAACTTTATTACACCCGTGGCAACTGCACGTCGCTTGTTTGACTCACCGCAGTAAAGCGGGCGGACGATGATTACCCCCGCTGTCACGTTCATGAGAAACATGTCACGATCCGCAACGAGGGACTCGCGAGGAGGAAAGCGCGAGGCGTAAATTTACGCTGCGATTCGGACAGCTATGCATTCCGGCCGGAAGCGGGCGAAATGAATTTTCGCTCGCTCCGAAAACGCGCCGACAAACTTCCGTGTTGCCGTAATAACTGTTGGTACTTCGAACGATTTTTCAACGAACCGATTTTCTGTTTTTCTCCCCCCTCTCTCTCTCTCTCTCTCTCTCTCTCTCCCCCTATTTTTTTTTCGCTACGTGTGCTGCCTCGTTTTTGAGTAATGACCGTTGCAAGATTGTGATTGCGTCCTACAAATTATCCGTTTGAGGCTGCTGCCGCTGGACAAGCCGGATTCGATTCGTCGGTGCTCGGAATACAGTTAACAAATGTCATCAACGAACACCTAATGCATTTGCTAGCGCTTCAAGTTAAAAAAAAATCCATCGCCGCAGATGACATCACGTCTTAGGTAGTTTAACGCATGCATTTCATCATGCAGAGGAATGTATCAAATAGATCGAGTCATGTACGCGTGACGTTGTTCTTCGCAGAAATAGTATGATGCTCACATCGATATCGCGTTAACCCTCGATATATTAATCGTCGAAACATTGATTAGACTAACTTTGTCCTATTTAAAAATAAAAAAAAAAAGTATATTTCCTTTTTATTTCTCGGAAGAAAGAAATTTTAAGTCCGTGTTAACAGCCGTTACTTGAAACTTGTTCCACATGAGACACTCAAATCTGAAGAGTTATACATACGTTTGACGTTTTTTACTCGAATTACATAATGTATGCGACACTACATTTTTGTGATAGCGGTTTAGCTGAAAAACTCACATCTAACTCTAAATTCAAGTCTGAGTACCTCACTTGAAGCAACGATTAATTCACAGTGTCGCCAAGATTTTGGTCGCGGAAGAAATCGGGAAGAAAAAGTAATCAGACATTTCAATCGCAACTCTGTAAGTTGATCGTCGTTTAGCTTAAGCGGAGTTTAGCGCAACCGGGCTTGAGAGATCCAAAACCTGATATCTAAGAAACGACGAAAATCATGAAACGCCAATGTTCTTGTATGTGGTAGAATGAATTGATGATTGGTGTTACCGGAAATGAAAAAATTCCAAAACGACAACAGTCCGACGAACGAACGGCCCGACGGCAAGTCGCGAGGGTCACTTACTTTCCAGCGTGCTGGCGAGGCGTAGGAGCGTCAAAAGTAGTATACTGATCCGCAGCTCCATCGCGAACTCACATCTCACTGCGCCCAAGCCGATGGTCTCATCCGACGCTACTCGAAGGGAACGACGAACTTCATGCTCCGCACGCCGACTGACGTCGCGCGATTATCCCGGCTCTCATAATCATCGGCAGCTGAACCAAGGAGCAGTTTCGCCCTTCGTACTCAGCACGATATGCGCCCTCAGTGAGCATCGTCATCGGATCGCGCGTCCGGACGTATCAAGCTCGCGCCGGACCGCCGAGGATCGCAAGAAACAATCCCGATCGAAGATTCACCGTGTGCGAGATCCTTACGGCGCACCCGACGAAGATCGACTCCCATATTCGAGCGGTGCGTCGCGCTTCCTGGGTCGCAGAAGAAACGATCTATCTTCTCAAGCGGAGAATGACGAAGAGGAGGAGGAGGAAGATGGAAGAAAGAGAAGCGTCGCCGATAATTACTCGGAGACTCACGCCGGAGACTGCATCCGAGCGAGGGTGTCCGCACTTGCACGGCTGCACTTGCGTTCGACCGTACGAAACCGGCAGGGTGAGACACGTGACCGTGGCCGTCGAGAGCCCTTCGCGCGAGAACGAGGGAAAGCGAGGAATTCGCCGAGGGAGGATGGCTACGCGATGCTCGCCGGTCGGCACGCGGTGGACGACTGAACTTGCCGACGTGCGCGCACCTCTATATATACATATATACACGTCTCACTTCGATACCGACGCTCTTCTTCATCCCCTTGTCGTCGGGGGTGCTGCTACTACTACTGCTGCTGCTGCTGCTGCCAGTGGTGGCGGTATCTGCGGCGGCGGCGAGGGAGGTGGTGGAGGTAATGCTCGTGCCGCCGCTGGAGGCTGCGCTTTCTTCCGCGCGAAACATTCTCCTTCCGCGCTGAGCGATGATCGTCAGATCGCTCTCTCTCTCTCCTCTCCCTCCCCTCTCTCTCTTTCTCGATGTACATTCCTCCTTCCAACCCTTCTTGTCGTACTTCACGAAGGAAGGAAGTCAATAGCCGATCTCTCTTTCCCGCTATTTCTATTTTCGCCGGGTTCTCCTTCGAGCGGCGCAGCGAGCCGAAAGTTGCAGATTGCGACGCTTCTCCAAGACTAATTTCTTCGAGGAGAGAGCCTCGACGTTCCTCGATGGGGTAATTGAGCGTGAAGAGAGGAAGAGGAAGAGAGAGAGAGAGAGAGATCTTGTTCGTCGTGTCGCGCGGCACTCGAATCTTTCAGCGCGTCGGAACACCGGGGACACAATTGGCAACGGGGGCTAAGGGTTGGAGCGCGTGATGGAGGGTCATTTGTTTTTTTTTTTTTTTAACGAAGCCTCCGTTTCTGGCCGAGACGTCTTCCGCGTGAAAAACGTCAGGTATTCTCTCTCTCTCTCTCTCTCTTTTTTGTTGGCTCGCTTGAGAAGCGCATTGTTGTCGATACGCGAGCGCCCGCGCGTTTCTTGACAATTTAATATTCATTCATGGCGCGTCGTAAAGCTGAAGCGCGCCGTTAACCTCGGGGTCATTGTTATCGCATCTCATCCGCGGGAGGTGGCCGAAGTGCTAACGGTTCAAACGAGTACAGCTCGAGCGTCTCGCCTCGCACGCAAAGAAATGACTTAACAATATCAGCTGAGTTTTAGTAGCTTATTCGAATTTTTCTCTCGCCGCTGAAAGTTGATCGTTAAAAATAAAATGCGTTCGCTGCGGNGGGGGGGGGGGGGGGAATTTTATTAGCTGAAATTACCAGCATACGTTGCCAAAGTTGATGTTAGCTGTGTTAAGAACAGCTTCTGTTAAAACAACAAAAAACAATAAATCTCTAGTCGCAGGAATGTGAATACGATTTTAATATTATTGAGCGGCCTAGCTTATATATTTTCCTGCTACGCCTAAATTCAAACAGCCAATAAATTTAACTGCGGTAGCCAACGATATGAACTATTTCGGAGATACGCCTTAGCTATATTTAAGCTTCTATAGCTAATTCTTTCTTTGAGTGTGACTTGGGGGAGTACTCGCGGGAACACATGAGATTCCCTACGGTCGATCACTGCTGATCCGCTCGAACGTGAAATCGGATCCAACCACGGGAACGGATTTACACGCACACCGCCGTCGTCGCCGCGGCCTGCCTCCTCCGACAACAATCTTGCGACTTCGCGCGAGAGCGGATGTAACGGTGAACAAGCTTCCGAGTCGCTTGGTTACACACGTAAGCGAACGAGATACCCTTTGACGCTGCTCGGCGGAAATAGATCGGAAAGCACGGGTCAGTCCGAGAAAGAGAAGAGAAATGCCAGTCGGGAATGGGCGTCCGCACGATTCACATAGCGACTCTGTGCCACGATAATGTTCGTTATGGAAACAATTCGACTCATGCAATTTTATTCATTAAAATTACGTTAACGATCTCAACTTCAAGTTTCTCAGTAAGTCTACTCTACCTGAAAAATTGGCCGAATATTTATCTCGCCCGAGAACCGTTTATACGTATCTGAGGTAAATATATTCGCGGTGCCGAGAAACGCTGGGTTTGGCTTCCGTGTCGAAGATGCGTTTTTATATTCTCCGTTTCCAACGTTATGCGAACATTTCAGTTCGCTCCATCAACGAGAGGAGCAACCTGATACTGTTTACACACACATACGCACTTTCCAGCTGTTCATTCCATCGAAGAAAACCGGACGGATAGCGGGTGTGTATACAATAGCCACGATGTTCTCGCCGGGACTCTATTACCGAGCGGAGCGTTTTTGTGCACTCGTTATTACCGATACTCTCCCTCTCACACGTAGCCACGAAACTACCTTGGCCACCTGTCGCTACCGCATTCTAGAGAATTCACCTGAAAACGCCTGAATAGACATTAAAGCGCGTCCAAACGTCCGTCCACGCAAGCATACAGGGCGCGCACATAGATACCGTCTCTCAGCCTGCTTATATCCTAAGTACCTCACGACGCCGAAACTAGACAAGAAGAGCCCCGCAGCACTTGCCCGCCGTAATTAATGATACCCTACGGAAAGGATTAACGTGTAACACAAAGTATACACATTAGTGTGGCCCGTTCGGAGAGGAGGTTCGGCATGCATCGCGATAACGTTTAAGAGCCGCTCCGCTACCAGCGCCGTGCCGGGCACGGTTAAGGTGGCCTTAATCCGGGCACGTACACATCGGCCGACGTGTACGCTATTATGCATTATACTACGCGCGCGTATCGGTTCGCGCGGCTCCACGTCGAAGCCTGACTTATGCCGATGGCCCTCACTCGCAGATGGTTATCTCTCGCCTTTACGAGATCCCTCCGAGCACGGCCGAAGAGAGAGCGTGCATCGTGAGAGTATTGCGCGCGCGCGCTTAAGCGATTTAACGTAAACACACGTAGCAATTTGTCCCGAGCTTTATGTCGCCCTCGGGAAAAAGGTACCCACGGCCGCTCGTTCGCCGGAACGAAGCTGAGAGAAGAAGAGAGAGACGCGTCGTCCACGACGTTGAACGAGGGAGCAAAATGTAGAGCAGGGAGAACAATGCACCGTCGGGTTGGTTGGCCCGGAGCTATCGCGGGCGGAAATAACGAAAGAAAACGTCTTTTCGTCGACGGCGTGTTACGCCGACGTTTTACCATCGCGCGAATTTACCTCCTTCGTCAGCGACGGCTAATTGCGATCGCTAATTTTGCGCCCTCCCGTGGCAGCGGCGCACAGTAGGACGGATCAAGTCCGTAAAGTTTTCAGTGGGAATTTCAACGATTCTTTTTTAATTGACTCGTTATAAACTTTCTCGCAAGGTAAGCTGTGAAACGTCGGGTGATTTTTATTTGAAAAGAGGCTAATGATCATCGATCGTCAATTAGACATTCCAGTGCGCAACGGTACGCAACGACCCCGCGTCCATTGTACATGCCACGTGCACACATAGGCACGCTTATCCATCTCTTTATCGTTGCCACGAGAGACACATACACGGGCGTAAACGCCCGACGACATTTAGTGGAAATCACAATTCGTATAACGAGATAATCGGCGGGCGTAATTAAAAACAATGTCGCGTCACGTATAATTATGCATACCGGTGACAATGAATATTGCCCGATTGCAAACAGACACCGAGTAATTGGCTTCCACGGCTGCGGCCGTTAAACGCCGGACGATAAACACGCTTAACGCGTTTCGCCAAATATGTCGCGCGATGATCAATGCGATTGACAGAATATGCGGATAACGCGGCAACGCGTCCAGCGATTTAATCATTAAACCGGGCGGTGGGCGGTGCGTGTATAATCCGCGGCATTCGCTCGCAAATGAACTTCGCGAGGCAAGGCGCGTTCGCTCGCGCTCTTCGACATCCCGCGCGTTGTCGAAGGTGCCGACCGGATGCCTTTTATAGAGTCTTGTGGTGGGTGATGCTGGAGGTGGTGCTGGTTTGCGCGGCTGCAAAAAACCAGTCATCTTCTCGCGGCGCCAGTGAGGCCATTTGTACCTAACATTGTCGGAAATTATTTTCCTACGTGCGAAGGCGCAATATTTTTGTTACAATATTAGCCAAAAATACGTTGGAGTAATTATTCTATTTGAATTAAATCGATATTTTTCCCCGTCCATATTTATGTTTTATCTTTTATACTTTATATTTCTCACTTTTTTTTCTCCTCTCAGTGCGCTGCGTTCAAGTAATATTTATTTAATCCAAGTAAAATAATTACTCCGATACTTCTCAGTAAATGTTCACGTGAGTGTAGCACTTCTTTCTTTTGGTGGAGTAACGTGTATACAAAGGTTTTTTTTTTTTCATTATTTATATTATACAACATGTCCTCCCAGTGATTATATCTGTTTGATTTTTCGCAAGATTTTGATACCTCTGACGCCACTATGTATCGTTTGCAGCCACACATAAGGAGGCCAGTACCGGTCCATCCGGATATCCATTATTTATTCCCGCGAGTTGCGCAGTTACGGCGTTCCTATGAATCCCACGCACACCCTTGTCCCAGAAAATCCTCCATTCTCCGGTGAGAAATCGGAACCCCCGGGCTTGCTGCATCTTCAAACCCAACGGCGGCGGTAATTGCGCTCCGCGTTAAACGAGGCAATCCAAACGGTAATGGAATCGCGAGAGGCGCGATGGCTCGGTTCATTCCGCGCCGGGTCAAAGGTCGGCGCGAACCGCGTAAATTATCTCACCGACGATAATTCTCAACCGCACGCGTCCAACGAGTTTCCAGTCTCTTCAACTCACGCCGCATGCCGCGACGATCACCGGTGATCGGTTCTATAACACTATCCACGTCTCATTAAGTCGTGCCTAAAGTATAATTCATTGCACAAAAGATCTATTGAGCTCCATTTCAAAGACGCGCAATAACGTACCGTTCTCCTCCCGAATTACATACACCGAGAGAGAAATCTCACTAAAAGTTTCGTCATTTTTGTCCACAATCACATCTTCTATATTAGAGCATTAATTCAAAAAATATTAATAGCAACATACATATAAGATTATCATCACTGGCACTATAGAATAACACTTATTAAAAAATCGATCCTCCCGACTATAATCTTTTCACTTGTGCGACTACAGTTACAAATACCCGCAATTTTTTTCTCACCGACCCTCCGCGAAGCGCAAAAATCTACGGTACTCTTCGAGCGATCTC